CACGCTGTGCAAACGTTGGTCACTATATGCTGCAGTTCCGGACTAATTTGAAGTCGAACAACACGTTTCCCATCCTCCGAACGCAGGGTTCCAGACATCATCCACAAAGTTCCTTCCTTCCGAGTCAATAATATTATCGAATACATGATCATTGTTATGTTCTGTGTTTTTTCTGTTTTCTGACTGCCTTATCCCGTTCTGCTGTATAGAAATAGATATAGAATAGAAATAGATATGTGCACTAGCTGACCAAGAAACAATAGGGAGTTTAAGCTTGCATATAAAATTGAAACGCCAACCTATACGTTCGACCAATCGCCCATACAGATGCATCGCTTAAATATTTTCCGTTCACGTTTAGATTGTGAAAAGCATTGCAAGCTTAAACTCCCTAATATCTTTTCTGAAACGCATTTACCATACATTAAGATCCATGGTATTATTTATTTAGATTATTATCAAGTATTGAATGCCTATAGCATATTTGTTATTAAGATGATATATCGAAAAATATTTTGTCGAATCAGCTATATTTACCAGAAAAACATAATCATCAATATTGAAGAAGTTATTCAAAATCGTTTCGGTCTCCTTTTTCCCGGCCACCCTGTATATTTGCGGGTTTTCTGATTTTTCTTTTTGCGGCATTGGTTAGCATGACTGATTCTGACTTTATTCCGTTATAGATTAAAGGGTTGAAGCCACGGACTCAATGGATTGTAGGTCTGGATGATTTAACAACAAAAGTTTTGTTTTCAGACTTTGAATGCGTGCGGTAGTATTAGTTCAAATTCTTGGGATACAAGACATGAGTGAATTAAAACTTCCTCAATCACTGAAAGATTAAATGGTAAAAACTAGTAAACAACACTAGCAATTTGACAGTCGACATACATTAAGCACCTGTCTTTCTATTTCTTACGATAATATTTCTATGTGTTCACACGATTGCCTACTTTAAAAAATCAATTTTACTGAATGTACTTAAGTAAATGTATCCATGTTCGGTTGTAATTCAAGAATGCATATTTTTAGAAACTACGCTCTGATTGGCTTGTATTTTATATATCTTTCCGAGCTATGTATGAACAATTCATTTTAATGAGATCAGCAAAAGTTATAGTCCATAACTATTTTTCATTTAAAAAGCTTATCTCTATACCCTACAGCTATTTAAAAGCTATCAATTATGACTAACGACTCGATGTGATCTGAAATTCTAATGAGCGGAAAATTCTTCTCAGATTGGTTGGGAATAGGTTTTAAATTATCTTTTCTTAACTGACAACATCGTTCATTGGCGAGGAATTAATTCGTCGCAGAGTACGTTTCTAGTGATGACGTCTTCACCTCATACCAAGGTATCAGTACCTTGAATTACAAATTAACTGCTCATTGAAGACTGAATAGAAAAGTGAATAATTTTCCTCAAAATAAACAATACTTTAGAATTAATTATCATTTACGCCACAACAATTTGCAAACAAAAAATACATGTCTATCTTTTAGCAGTTCGCATCTAATTATCAATCATAAGGGGATATTAAACACTGTGTTGGGGGTCTTTTGTACATGGAATATTGGATTTCAAGTAATTCTTGGCTTTATAATAACTCCGAAACAAAACTAATATGTACCTAAGGCAACGATGCGTGATGTCGCATATAAGCAAAAGGCTGGTGTGCTTAAAACAAAGCCAGCGTAAATGCATAGTTGCAATTAGGTTATAAGATGATGAAGTACTCATTTTAAGCTGTCCAATGCGTTGTTGTGTCAATTAATCGACTGCTATAATCAGACGTTTTCACAATATCTTGCAGGCCCGTAACCAGGGGGGGGGGGGTATCGGGCGTTGGAGCGAATAAATGTTCTGGCCACTTTGGATTTCCGTCCTAAAATCGTGTCTGTAAAGTCTTGCCTACCCGTTGTCAGGCTAATCGTATAACAGATCAATTTCAAATTTACAGTGATGATTCTTAGTATGATAAACTTTAACTGATTAGGTTTTGGGTATTCTGGGTAAATGTTGTGGCGGCCATTTTGGATTTGTCGTCCAAAAATCGTGTCTCTTAAGTCTTGTCTACGCGTTTTCAGGCTAATCGATTCACAGATGCATTTAAGATTGTCAGGAATTGTTCATAGTATGCAAACCTCAAAGTGATTAAGTTTTGGGCATTCTTGGTAAATGTCAAGGTGGCCATTTTGGATTTTCCGTCCTAAAATCTTGTCTTTTTTGTAAATGTCACAAGGTGGCCATTTGGGATTTTCTGTCCTAAAATATTGTCTGAAAAGTCTTGTCTACGCATTTCCAGGCCAACTGTTTGGCGGATCTATTCCACCCCGGCAGGATTATAATGACATAACCCTTTTGAGAATCAGCCCTGGAAGTTCGGTGCAAATCTGCCCTCCTCTAATTTCATTTCGAAATGACATCACATCATTACTTCGCCATGTATACAAGTAAGGTTTGCACATTATTTTCTTAAGCACGATAAGTATTATTGTATCATTGGTTTATTACATTATGTTACTTCGATTCAATCAGCCATTATGCAATAAATCACTGTCTCACATTGCAGAGAAAATTACAGGCATGTTTTACAATCCTATTCTAAATTGGTGTTTATCTACGAGAATTATCCGAGTTTGACATTTATACCTCTATAGAGAACAATTGTAGTCTTAATAAATTAAAAACACGCCGTAAAACAATCGAACACACATTTTTCAAGATTTGTAATTCGCAATTCGGCTGTGACTTAATTTCCCTACTGAACAATGGCTATCCGATTTATGCATATCATTTGGAGGAGGGGGCGAACTTTGTTTTGAATGATTGTAGGGGATGTACCCTACAAATTGTAGATCATTGTTAGAAAACTGTTTAATCTGAAACATATGATAACATCTTATCCGAGGAGATGATGTGAAAACGTCACTTCACCTAGGTGGGAATCGAACCCAGAACCTCCCAGTTACACGCTGGATACGCAGTACTACTACTTGAGCTACGGAGTGAACTGATCTCATGTCAACATTGCATATTTGCCACCATATATAGCCATGACTTACATCATGCCAAGTTTCCTGGACCCATCATCACACTACTATACCCAACACCTAGAAATGCATAAGATACTTTGTTTGTCCAATTGTATTGTTTAGTATATTTTTGAAAGTACCTTATTAGCATCTAACTTTCAACCTATAAACCATTAATAAGGAACAGACAAATAAAAACAAGTACATAATCATTGCTAATTAGCCAAATGCGTTGCTCATGAACACCGAATGCAAGGTATAGTAGAGTGTCATTACGTTTACTGCCCTTTGCATTCGTTTGACTTCACTTCTTAAAAGAGAGCTTCGGTATTCGTTTACCTGTCTTTCCAGGTTATCAATCACTCTACTCATTATGTCACGTGTTCTTTCCCATGTGTCATTCCTAAAAGGGGAAATTCAAGAAATTTTAATTGGTCTCTGGAATAGGCTCGCTACCAGAGTATTCACTCAACATTTATAGATTCTGAGAAAAAACTATTTATTTCATTTGTGAACAAATGGAAGAATTACCATTCATTGAAGTTTGACAATACATTGAAATCGAGAAAACCAATGACAAATGCGAAAGCAAATTGTCCATTAACAAAAATGACAATTGGCCTTTAACGTTTCCTACGGCTTTCAATTCAAATTATTTTGCTTTACGATTGTCTGTAATTGTGTCCTGAATCTGTCCTTTAATCTTATGTTCAGAAAAACAAAGCAATTAATTGTTAAATCAAATAGTCAGTACACTAAACGAAATTTCAGTCAACCAATCATTTTCTTCACGGCTATTATATTTCAGTTTATATCCGTGTGTGTCTTCTGATAAAGGTATGGTCAAGAGATACATCTTTTAAGCAGACAAAAAGTGGGAATTACCCCAGAGTTCAAAGATGAAACTACCCTGAAGACGAAGCTCTCTTTTAAGAAGTGAAGTCGAACGAATGCAAAGGGTGAGGTGAACCTGTCAGCATGTGAAGTATAACCCAGAGGTCTTCCTTGACAGTTGACATGCTTGAACATGAGTTCATATCTGAATTCTGGTTTATTTATCTGTCTCAAATAATATATATTGTTTGGAACAAACTTCAGGCCGAACACCCCAGCTAAGTATACTGTATTGTTATGGTATTAGTAAATAGTTACTGTCCAATAATCCCCATTGATTCATCTCTAAACACAGTCTGTAAAAACATGATGTAATAATTGTCTTTGATGCAGAATCAATCAGTGTAATTCGTGCTCTGTGGAAACTATTTGAAGTCGTTATCAATATAATGAGACAAATATTGGCAACGAGTGAATGATGTGCCGTAATCAGCAGCCGCCATTTTTCATCATAGTTGATTAGGTTTCGTGCTGTTTGTCTATTCGTTTCTCTTATTTTCAACCATGGCGGAGGTCAGGAATGGTTAAAGCACGAACTAACAAGGGACTGTGTGTGTGTTGGGGGGGGGGGGGTGTAAATTTACTCCTTGAGCACGGATCATTAGTTCTAAACAAAGTGTAAAATATTGGAAGTTTTACAAACATACTTTTGTTTGCCTGACAATCCTGTTATATAATATCTGATAAAAATTTAAGATAGTGATCAAATATAAAACATACACGGTTGACATTATAAAATCATGCAGAGATGACTGACCCCATGACATATTATGAAATACGTCTAGTAATAAGCACACATTTGTACGTATACGTTAAGATGGAGAAAAATTCTCTATCCTGAATCACTATGGTGTATGTGCCAATGTCTGAATATCGATGCATAAAACAAGGGCTCTTCAAAAGGTTTTCTTCATTTGTACGTATTCCAGGTTATAATTGCGGAAATTTCAGAATTTGTGATAATATTATATATGAATACACATGTTGAACCAACTGATGCGCATGACTATGATCACCGTGATGATTATCATGTTATTCAAGTCACCTTTATAATGTGCTTCCAGAACTTCGAAAGTTGATTGATAAGGTGTTCCAGTATTTATTCCGAGTGGCGCTGTTTCAAGTTTCTATGGGGGCTACAAGTGTCATATCAGGGGTTATGACGTTGCACGTGTCACGTGATCGAATGGCGTTCCCTATTGCAGCAGCTGTTCCAATATGGAATGGTACACTGGTAAGTCAATTGTTAGTAGCATAATCACGAATTCTTAATAACATTCAAAAGTGTCTATTGTCGTGGTCCATACTAAGTTTAATTCAGGGCAACAATAAGATCACGATCAAACATTCAATTGGAATGGTGTTTTATCAAATCATTTCAATGCTAAATACAAACCAGTAAATAATGTTTTAGTATGCATTTTCCATGGTGACCAAATGCGTATTAGTCATACACTGCTTGTGTGGTGTAAGGTAGATTTAAGGACTGCATATTTTCCTTAGCACCGTGATACCATTACAACGACGACTTCAACTGTCGTTTTCAACAATAGCGAACGTAACGGATGATAGTTTTAAATTTTTTTAGATCGATTTTAGCAAGAATGAAAAATGCATTTAGCAATCTCTCTCAACTGCGGAACTTTTGTATGTAATGACTTGAATATGTACAATGCACAAAAATTTATGTTATTGACTAAGCTTTGCTCTAAAACGCCACAATATGGCGAACAAGAGAGCATATATTTTTTCAATCATAAGGTTTATTTCATAAATAGAAGTATACAGTGATTATTCAGGGTTGGGCAAAATCGCCTTCTGTCATTTCATGTCTCCGTATGCAACTTTACAATAAAACATATATGAGAAAATAGATCTATTGTCATTGAATTTAAGAATCAAACAATGATTCTGTTGAAGAAAATGGATGAAGTTGCTGCTGACAATCGTTAGCTAGGGATGGGTAAATAATGTTCCGAGTAATATAAAAGAAAGATAGGTTATGTAGTAATTGCATGATCTAAAGGCAAACTACCCGTTGTAGATATCTAACATAAAACCAAATGTAACTAAGAAAACACATTTATGTCTATTTTTATTACTGCAAGTACCGAAGTAGCCATGACATCAGTTTTAATTAAAATATAAATATTATTTAGTCAATTGTCCTAAGATCCTCGTCTCCCTCTTCCTCTCCCCCTCCCCCTCCCCCGTCCTCGTCCACGACCTCGTCCACGGAAACCTCCTCTAACCGACTGGGCTCCTGCATCGGAATCGGAGTCGTCATCGCTCCCATCTGAGCCATTAAGGGCATCCATTTCACCAGGTTGACCTGCTTGTTTTTGTGATTTACCTGCTTCCATTTTCTTTCTTATAACGACAATACAACAGCAAATCACAACCAATACTGCTACAAGTACACCTCCGATGATTGGACCTGTCATTGCTGAAAGAATTTGCAAATTATAAGAAAAGGGGTCAATAAGCTAGTAATAACGGTCACTGTTAAAGTAGTCGATTGCTTGTTATAGTTCCTGCTATTTAGGCGAGTTTTGAGGAAAGATGAATCTTAATTGTATTTTATGTTTACTACCGGTAACTCGAATGCACACAAGGCTTTCCCAGGAGAACTTTAGTTTGTATTTGGACTGATCGAAATCTTATGATTTGACCACAATGAAAGAGTCTTCTGCATTAGGTTATGTTTATGACCACACAAGGATTCTATATACCTGATTTACTTCCATCATTCGCTGCAGGGGTCTTATTCCCAACTTGTTGCTCATTTCCGGCAGGCTTGTTATTTCCAGCAGGTTGGTTATTTACAACAGGTGGATTGTTTCCAGCAGGTTTGTTATTTCCAACAGGTTGGTTATTTCCAGCAGGTTTGTTATTTTCAGTAGGTTGATTATTTCCAGCAGGTTGGTTATTTCCAGTAGGTTGGTTATTTCCAGCAGGTTGGTTATTTCCAGCAGGCTGGTTATTCCCAGTAGGTTGGTTATTTCCAGCAGGTTGGTTACTTCCAGCAGATTGAGGGTTACTGCTTCCTGTATTCGTTGGCGGTCTTTGATCTATAAGATAAGGGAGCTACATGTTTTAAAGATAACGTGTATGTGAACGATGTATATTTTCATGACTCACGTCGAGTACTTTCCCCTCTAACTTTGTTTTTCCGATCGCAAATTACAAATTACATTTCCTATATATTCAAAATAAATTAGAGAAGTAAATTAGTATATAATGGGGAAAGTAATCATCCAGATGACCATGAATATACACGTTCACGTACACGTTTTTTTTAAAACGTGAAACTTAAGCTAGTAAAATGAAAGTGAAACGGTTCACGAAGAACGTCTTTATCTCAAAAGACGCAGACTATTCAGCCTTCAAAAATCAATAAATATAATATGAAAAAGAAGCACACATTTGAATAAGTATTTTGAGATTTCTATTTAAAAATCCCATATGGTCTGAAACTTGCGATACCAATGCTCATTTGTTCACGAAACGTCCCTTGACTGTTTTGAAAGAAGAACATCGTTCGTAGATAAAACACGTATTATATCTACTACTACGTTTGAAAATATTTTTTATCATTTATTTACTATTCATGACTTCAAAAGTTATTTTAGAGCTTTTTGAAAAAAAAATGTGAGCATTTCATTTCTCAAATATTCAAATTTTCCGCCATTTTTCAAAAATAGTTAAAAAATGTATTCATCAAAAAGTTCTTCATATTATTTCAAAAAGGTAATATTTTTAACACCAATGCAAAGATTGAACTATTTCAATAATAAAATGGCATATTTAATGGGTCACTTCAATGTTTCAGCAAATCAAAAATATTTTGCAACATTAGTGATGTCATTATGACTCACCCAGGTGTCAAAAACTGTTTGAAAAAATTGAAAATATTTTTCTATGTCAATCTTTTCTAAATATGCTAAACTTCAATGCTAAACCAATGTTGATTGTCTAACCAGGTTAAAAGGAAGAATATATTGTTTTAGATATCATTGTACCATTGGTTTCTATGTGAACTTAAATTTTGAAATGCATTTTTCTCTGATCCATTTACATGCACTGATACACTCCCCTCCATAAGTTTGGCAACCTTAGCTCCCCCATTGAACTACGTTTTAAAGCCTCTATAAGTTTGAATTTTAATTCACTTAACCGGCGATGAAATAACTTGTAATATTGATGGAAACGTAATTTTACTTTATTTCCAATACCTCCAAATTTTCTAAATTTTTTCTCCTATATTACAATAGGTCGAAAATTGATGATAAAGTTGATGACTTTTTGAAAATCGTCATTCCCATGTAATCCAATGGGAAATATAAGGTTCGGGGCAAGTCAGAAATCAGGATATCTTTTCAGTAAAAGATTCAGGAAAAAATACTTTTATATAGAAAATTGAATTGTCTAACTTTTTCGTACACTAAGTGTTTAGCTTATTTGATGAATACTTAAGTTACAGCTCTTCAAAGTCATTTTTGAAAATAATTTTTTGCTTCCTGTGTTATTTCTATGGGAGAAGTTTTTGAAAAATAATTTTGACTTTAAAGCCCTATTACTCTGTTGAACCTGAAGAAACATATCAATATTTTGTTAAATAAAGTTAGCAAATTCAATTGCCTGCCTAATTTTTGAACCCATTTTCTGAATTTTTTCGGCAAAAAATGCGAGGATGAATGCTTTATGCATTCTTATGAATCGTGGCTTACTAAAAGATACTTGTGATCTCTAAAGTTAGTTTTAAATAAATTCACGATTTGTTTGAACAAAAAGTCTTTCAAAAACCACTTTTTGAAAAAGTTTCACATATCACACATTTGGTAAGACTACAATATAAGTCAAAGTGGTTTAGACTCTATATGGGGACTTTAACTTTTGGTACGCAAGTCACAGTTTGAGTGATTTTTAAGAATGTAAAGTTCCTAAATTACATTATTTGACGACAATTAACTGCTTCAACACAGCTATGTAGGCGCTTTCAATGACTGAAGAAAGGAAGGAAAGTGTGACCTGTATACAAAGTTCCATTTATGAATTGAATCCGATGATACTCTAAATTCAATATTTTTATTTGAAGATTTCACTATTACTTGGTTGACATGGCCTATTTTTGCTCATTGTCGAGGTAAGTTCTAAGGGTTTGCAGGGTCCACTGCCTGGGGCTGGGCTTCTTGTTCTGATGCATTGAATATTATTTCCACAGCTCGGCGTACATTGGTCTGGTCCCCATTCACCAGGCTTACATTTGGCTTAAAGGAAGACATGCATATTTGAATATTATATATTTTCCAAAATGTTTAGGATTTATTTTGTCAATTATTGTGTTTCATGGATTATGTCGACGGCATTGCGAAAGAATGTCGACCCGTTGAATTGCCTATAGTGACTTCAAGTCTGGATTCCGTCTATCCTGCATCATTTAAGACATCATCTTTGAATACAGTAATGACTTCAGTATGAATGAAATGATCCTTGGAGTTCTGGTCCTGGAGTTGGATATTGGCTCTTGATTGGAGGGGTGAAGGCGCGGGGAGGCTTAGACATTATTTCTTTTCATGATTTTGGGAGGGTCTATTTTTTATGACAGAATTACACCTAGAGTTTGCTTTTCTTGCTAGGTTTCTTTACAGTTTTGGTCCTCTCCCTTTGGCACTTGTGATTAGATATTCAGTGTTTCACCAGAACGGTGAGCGTATACTATAAGATAAAAAACATGACAGATACACTTTGGATACCAATCCTCGTATCGCCTATACGTCAGTCCATTCCAATAGTTCCCAAAAGTATTCAATCGTACATCACACACGGTATCACTTAGAAAGGGGTAATTTTCTTTTTTAAAATATTTGCTGGAGCAATCGAAACTTCACTTATTTCTTACCTTGACACGTTTCTCCAGCTGGCGGTGTACAGTCTTTAGACTTTGTTTCATATTGCTTCGTACAAATTTGTGGAAAATTGATGGTATCGCATTTTCGAAACTTGAACTGTTTAAAGGAACCACTCGAAACATCACATATACATTCTAACCAAGGCGACCAGCTTGACCATCCGTTGCTACCTAAATAGAAAAAGAAAAGATCGGGGTAAGCAAATTCAATTAGACACATACATTTATATATGAAACACATAGTTATATATACAATATTAATATTTTGCTATCATTCCATTTTTTATTGTTAAAATAACAGTTTGAACAAATGATTTTGTATTTGCTGTATATAGAAGTTCATAATATTTTACGAGCACTAATATTTCAAAAGAATAGAAATAAAATATGCAAAGAATCCACGGCTACTTAATTAAATACTATGCTTTTTCAAACATACATTCATGACAAATTTACGTGATCTAATGTCTGGTCACATCTGACATATATTGGTTATTCTATTTAGTGATCTGCTTTGTCAGAGTCACTCTACTCTACCTTGTATTTTGTGTTCATGAGCACCTCATTTGACCTTTCAGTAATGATTATGTTATTCATTCTTATGTGTCTGCTGCTTATGAATGGTTTATTGGATAACTGTTAGATGTTAATAAGGTAGTTTCAGAAATATACTAAACAATACAATTAGACAAACAGAGTATCTTATACATTTCTAAGGGGTAGATGTAGTAGAGTGAGAGTGTTAGAGGGGTTCGTAACAAACGCTGTGAGAATATAGACTATATTCATGTAATGTGGATCCTTTAAGTCAGTTACTATCAATAAATATAATATTCATTTTAGTTATTTTTTCAAAGATACATTGTCTCTTGGTTTTTCCCGAAATGATAGTGATGTCCCCAAAAATTGCTCATGACATATTTTACATATCTTAGATATATCTTGAGATCAATTTATTGCTTATATAGTGAGAAAATTAAAAGAGCAATCAAATGTCAGAATTATACACAATTCGAGCTTTCCGTTCATACATAAATCTATGCAAACATCTTGAGGAATTGCCATCAAGTGTCAGAGTGTCGTCACTTGACTTTTATCCAGCCAGCTAATTCGTAGCGGTTTTTTAATTTATTTTCGAATTTCCAAAATTGTCATTAATGGAATTTCTATTTAGTGATCTTTGATTGGACTCTTGTCATAAGGTCTTTGAATGTATAGGCAGGTCCGCATCTCAATTAAATGTTTTAACTAGGTCAATTACATTCTGATACTCATAGCATATTTTTGTTTCACCTGAACATCTCAGGGCTGAGAAGAAATGAGATGTCATGGTATATCATGATGGGTCAATTATGTTATTCCTTAAATTTATACTTGCTCATGGTGTCGGCCATTCGTGTACATTATCTTGTGTTATTTTAAAAATACACGTAAACATATAAAGGGAAATAAACAGAACATTGTTTCGCCTTAGCCATTGTGTTTAGACGTTGTACTTACCATAAACAAAAACATATACAGAATCACTGATGCCTTGTTCTTCTTCCGTTACAATGTATATACCTGGTGTATTAATTAAGTCGGCTTTACTTGCTATCTTAACCGTCACACTGAAGAAAAATAGAATTCTAATAAGACACACACACAGTGATAAATATCGCACTTTGAAAACCAAAATGGCCACCAAGTAATTAACCAAGCATGCCCAAAACCTAATTAGATCTTGGCACTAATCTGCTCTCACATTTGTAAAATTTTGCAAACATTTGTAAATTGTTCAGCTCAGCTGTTTTATGGAATTTTGATGACAAGAATTAATTTGTAGTCTCGAATTTTCAGGGTGGTAAAAACGGAAACACTGCATTTTCCTCATATCTTTGTCATTTATAGAAATAACTGATATTTCACACATTTGTACAACATCCGATTTCCTACCACCCTACCATATTTCATGACCAGACAGACTGATAGTCACAATTTTACAACACTTTGAACAACAGAGGTCATTCTCATATACTCTATCTCATGTCCTCAAAGGTAGGGACATTTTGGACGTTATGTGTAGGTTTCCCTACAGCGCAATAGTGGCCACTGGAAAATGTTTTTTAAAGTGCTGTAACATTGTGACTATCGATCTGCTGGTCATGAAATAAAATCTACTGGTAGGAAATTGAATGATGTATGAATGTGTAAAATATCAGGGAGTTATTTTTCAAAATGACAAAGATATGAGGGAAATTGTGTAAAGGTTTCAAGTTTTTTTGACCACCCTGTAGTTTGTGACCTAGTCTGATGACCTTGAGCTTCGGCCTCAAAAGATACTTTTTTCAGACCTCAGTAGGTATTTTGTGATTAAGCTGACTTAAATTTGGAATCCAAAAAAGAAACAATTTGAAAATTATCCCCAATATCTACGAATGTCAACCAAAGGTCGCATATCAAATATAAGATGAAATGTGAACTCTTGAGAACTTTTAGATGGTTTAAAAACATTTTGAATCAAGTTTAAAAATTCAAAATGGCCAATTTATCAAAATATTTAAGATGGCCGCCATGTTGTAGAGTCACTGTACCAAACTTTTATCAGATCTTAACACTAATCTGCTCTTACATTTGTAAAAATTCAAGTTGACCGGATAAGCTTTTTTCTGAAATTTTGATTAAAAAATTTATGGAAAAAATGGCAGCCAAGTAATTTACTAAGCATGCCCTAAATCTAATCAGATCTTTGAACTAGTCTGCTCTTGAATCTGTGATAAAATTTCAAGTTGAACAGGTAAGCGGTTTTCCTGGAGTTGATGACGAGATTTGATTAATGTGGAGTCCGCCGGCCGATGACAATATAGCTCTTTTTTAGATAATAGTACATAAAATACGTATTATTGGTTGAGAAGATTTTGTGATGTATTTGGTATAAAACGACAGTTAATCATCTGTTTACAAATGGCCCGTGTAGAGAAGTACTGAAATACTAAAATCTGATTGGCTGATAATTCGTCAATTGAAATATTAAAAGTTATTAATCATGAATGACTTAAAGTGCAATAAAAATGTGCAATAAAAATATATTGGGCCCAAGAAATTCTGTTTTGATCGCGTGATCTTATTACATTTTATATTCCTAGGAAAGAGCCCGACTTGGTCTAAAACCAAATGTACATACTTTTATTTCATGAATGAAACCTGTACGATCAAGATTCAATTCATAAAATAAAAGTGTCTACCTTGAGTTAACAGAATAAAACCGTTATAGAATGATTTGAAGAGCAATAAAGGCATATATTGTGCTCTCGATGTTCTACATTGTCACTCGACTTTGTCTCGTATGAAGAATTTCTCGAACACAATATATCCTGTATTGCACTTCAAATCATTCAACAACTTTGATTGCGCAGCCAATCTTTCAATTACATTTAATTGGCCGAAACTAACCTTGTATACGCGAATGCAAAAAACGGTTGTCGGCTACCGGATAAACCTACTATTCCACGATGACCAACTAGTTTAAATATGAATGGAATAGTGACAGGTACTATTCATTATTAAATTAGTTGCCGATAAAATAGTAAGTCAGGTCGCAAATAGGTGGCGCATTTGTGTTTTTTGGGTATCACATGAATGTATTTTTAATTCTTCGGAATAAAATATAATATTCTAATTAAAGTTATATACCATTTTAAAGCTGCTTTAATGAAGTTTCAAATCAAGTACACTCCTTAATTCTTGCGCGTTATTTTTTGCTAAGAGTTTTTACCCAAAAATCTGGCAAATATCCGCCGTTACATTTTGAATAATTTTTCGTCTTTAAACGCTCATAACTCAAACAATATTTGACTATTATACATGTTTTCGTCTTGATAAAGGTAGATTGAAGTGCTATTTTAAAGAATGGATTCTAGAAAGCGTCCCATATTGTGACGTCATATAGTTTTAAAAATAGAATCTGTGAACAGCGACCTTTTTTGCTCATTTTTTGTTACCTTCAAATTTTCAGGTGTACATTAAACAAAAAATACGACACCAATTTCAAATAAATCATACATGATTATTTTGCTCATAAACTCTAGTTTATTAATAAGTAGTTGATTTTGTTTGTGTGTTTTCTGTTGTATGTGAAAAAGTGGAGGAAAATAGGGCGAATTTAGGCAATTCACCTGTATTCAAACATAGCAACACATATATATTTATCTAAGTTAATCCGGTAGCTGACAGCCGTCAGTTGCATTCACGAATTCATGCTAAGCCAAGTGACAAAATGTTGCAGAAAGTCAGAACTCACCCGCGAGAGAAACTGCAATCAAATGCAGGGTTGGAAACCTCATTGGTTATCTTTCCTGTTTTCAAATCCTTTGTAATGGTCTTTTTACGATTAAAAGTGTGACCATTCCCTTGACACGTTATACCATATGCTTTTTTCTTTTCAGGATCAAGTTTAAGAACGCTTAGATCTGTCGCTCTTTTCGCCCACTCCTCACTCCTTGTTGGAAGTCTTTCCATGAAAACATTTTCTTCTATTGCAAAGTCTTCCTTTAGGGCAGCGGGTCCATAAACATATTTTATATAGTCGGAGCTAGGTAGAACATCCTAGAGTCAGAAACCAGATTATTTAATCTCTCAAATAATGCAGAGATACAGGGTGTCCGGAAAGTAAAGATACAAATACTCTTATTTTAAGAAACTTGGGTTTTTTGAAATGAAATTACAACAGATTGTAGAGGAACAATATGACAATATATCTACAAACTTTCATCACATATATTCTAAATGTGTTCAAGTTACGGTTGTTATGGTTACGGATGTGAGAGGTATGTGGAGCAGTTCCAGAACAACGCTAAAAAGTGAAAAATTGCTAAAAGACAACCATTTGAAACAGTGTTTTTTGTTGTATTTTCTATCTATGTTTTGTTTTGTTCATCATTGTATTATTGCTGCCATAGTGTTTTCTTTTATATAATGATGTCATTGGCACATATCAGAACTAAGTTATGTCACTAACCAGTAAAATGAAAGAAGTATTATACAAGTGCCTAGAAGAATGGTCCCTGGCCATTAGTAGGAAAGTCAATATTGCATCTCCACAATGCACCAATTCACAAAGCAAAAAAACAAATCTTACAATGGAGTGTCATGACATTAAACCTTTCTATACAATACCCCATTTTCACCTGATAAAGCCTCTTTAGACTTCTACCTTAATGACCATTTGAAAGCAATATTTGTAAAAAGTTCAACATCCAAATGAGACTCAGCTTGAAGCCAATGTTATCAGCAATCTGAGAGATGGACAGCAGCGGTTTTGTCAGGTCTTTGAATCACCGGTCAAGATACACCAAGAATGTATAGATAATGGGAAAAATACTGAATATTCAATGATAGTAGTAATATGAAATTATCAAATAATGTTACATTACTAATCCCTATGCTGTTGTGGTACATAATTTGATATAATATAGGAATAGATGGTGGAGTGCTAAGATTATACGAGCAGGAAAGTGATTTGTAAAGCACTATAGTGATGTTGCTCCACATACCCTCGACTCCCGTAACCATAACAACCATAACTTTTTCATTTTGAAACTAAAAGTCATGACAGTTGCTGGATATATTTTTATAATGTCATTCTACATTCTGGAGCAATTTTATCTCAAAACAGGTAAATCCCTTAAAATTAGAGCATTTGTATCTTTACTTTCCGGACACCCTGTAGTAGCTATAGAAAACTTCCGCCCATTTTCATTATTGCTTTAACCTTTGTAATAGCGTTCCGATGTGCACAAAATAGGCTATAAATGCTGGGAATTGAAACTTTATGACTTTATTGAAATGAACGTGAATATTGATAATAGATAAAACGATATGTATCCATAAGGTTCTATACAATCATACTTAGTCTAATACAAATGTTACTAAAACGTGCAAGCAACTAAATCCAATGAAATATCTCACCTTAAGGCCAAGCGCAATTTGTTGATTTTCCAGGAAGAATTGTGCTCTGTTGCCTCTTTTTGCACGCAACTCTTTGTAACTCCAACCGTTTGGAACTACACAAAATACATATAAGCCAAGTATTTAATTGATTATAAGCAGAGAGACTTTAGATCCATAGCTAGGGCAATAGATCAAAAATTAGAGAATGCTTATTTTGAGGCAAACCCATTAATTTTTTATCATAGTGTACGACGTGTTCTTGATGAATATTGGCGGCTTTGCAATCATTTTTATTTAATTTGTTCTTTTGAATGAATATGGGTCGTTTACTCTCACAGAAACATCAACCACGATACGCAGATATGCCCCTTGATGTATTACTTCCTCGTTACATTTCATATCAAAACGATCAAGAACTTCTCAATTGTGTCATAGCCAGGAAAAATTGTAATTTTCACATTTTTTTCATTTCGTCATGTTATAGTTATATAAATGATTGTTAGATATGTTCTCTCTGGATTCAAAGAAATAACATTTAGTATCTGCAGAATGGGACGGAGGGTGAGGGGAGGCCATGATGTTTTGATCAGACCATTTCTGTCTATTAATTCCTGAAAGCCAGATGAAATTTAGAGACAAACCGAGATATAAAAACACTAAAATCAAGAACTTTGCTACCCCAGATATCAGAATGACATGGATTTGATTCAGGAGGACAGTCCTAAATGTTTGTAAAGAATTTAGGCTGTAGTCATTAACCAAGATTTTGATGTAGGAATAATGGACCACTGAAAGCCGATCGCTATGAGTTGTTTGGCAACATATTTGTATTAAACGCATTAAAATCGAACCCATTGATACTAAACACGTTGACATCGAACAAATGATTTAGTACTTATTCTTCTATTTAGATAAATGTTTTCTTTACCTTTCTCACATATAAAGTGAGTAAACTGAGAGTGACCTAACCACTTATACTCATTGGCCAGTCTTCTGAATTTGAAGTCGTAGTGCTTTGCTCCTACCACAGCCACTGAATTGCGAGGCAGTCCAAGAGGGTTCTTGTCATTGCCGTGCATGTCACCTCCATTAATCCATGGAATCGTCCAGCCATAACTACTCAAACGCCTGTTTTTATTGTTCAACCAGTAAAAGTGTTCAGACTAAAAAGTATATATACTATTTTTGAGTTTCGAGTTTCTAATCAGTTGTTGTAACCAATGGATATGGTATATTGAGACAACATTTGACCTGAGAATTTTCCATTTGAATTTGGCGCCATGGAACAACTCAACAGGAAGTTCCAGATTACTAACTCAATTAGATGCACTTTTATGAGCGTTACAAGATGTGCACTAAATGCCGTCCATTCCTTTGCAGGCAGACCCGGATTCTAAACAAAAATCATATAACTTATTTACAAAAGTTGTAACAAAAGGTAGGTGGCATTTTTTGTGTAGAATCTAGGTGTGCCTGCAAAGGAATAGACAACACATCGTGTAACGCTCATAAAGGTGCATATAGTTGAGCTACAGTAGTCACATGGAACTTTCCTTACTGTTGCTCCAAGGAATCTAGTTTTGATGTACTGAAGGAGAAATCAAAATTTATGCAGACAAAAAGTTATGCAACATTATCACAGGGTGTGTACCAAATTAAGCGTTGCAGTCGAACGCGCGGTGTACTGTACAACACAAGGGTGATGACATTTTAGCAAAGGGATGTTTTCATATTTTCAGATTTTTTCCAGAAAGATCTAGTCTAGTTTCTAGATATTTATATGTGTAATGTCTGTATAAACAACATTCTAGACAGTGACATTGACCATGAATTCCATAATTAAATCTATACAAACTCTAAATGTAGTATACGATATAACGCGCGGTAATGGTGCGGTACGTGTACAACACAAGGAATGTGAAATTTGCGTTATATTGTATCTCAGGTAAATGTACTCGCGCGTCATACCGTATATTACATTGTGAGTTAATTATGAAATTCACGGCCAAGTTCCCTGTCTAGGATGCTGTTACATACATTTACATATCAAAATATCTATCTATATCATCCTCGTGTTGTACCTTAGCACATGCGTTCAACTGTCACGCTTAATTTGCTACACACCCAGTGGTTATATATTGGTAGGTGACAAGGTATGAGAAACAATATAAAGTGCACCACATGTCGAGAGTCGGGAGATAAAGACATTAAACAGATTCTACAGTAAAAATAAAGCTTACATGTCTATTCGTTAATCCAATCCAGTAAATCCAGCCACGGTCCCAATTTATACCGAAACCACCTGCCCGGTACGTCTTTTCTAGCCACTCCTTTACAAGATTGAATTCACGCTCGGTCTCGAACTGTACAAGTTCCGCGTCAACACTTCGGCATGAATCACGACTATGGAGCCAATTTCTTGCAAGTCCTCCGAAATAACAGTGACCAGGCTCAAGCTCATACCAACGCTTCCCTCCACAAGTTGTCCCTGTAACATATTGTTCATTTATAACACTTCATATGAGTATTTCTTTTCCTGCATTTAGGCATTGTTAGACGAAATTCTAAATTATTACGCTGCATTTAAGCGTCTAGAATGATACACTTAACAGACATCGTCGTCATTCCTTCAATGAACATCTGCAACCATGGAAATACAACTAAAACGTCCATAGACTATACCGTCTGTATTTAGTGTATTTAAACTCTTTTAAACTTTTTAACATATGTCGGATGACAAGTTTATAGTACATGTATTCAGCAAATGAAAAACATTGCAATAGTAACAAGAAGGCCAAGTGGAAAATCATATTTGAAAATGTCACGTGTATTTTCCAAAACAAAATGGAACATTTGTTGAAATGATCACCGCCAAGCTACTATACTTTATTACACATAAATGTAACTTGACATTGTTCTGATCATTGTTTTAAAATATTTAAACGTTGTATATTTAGTAGGATTTCACTTGGCCGGATGTAGATTCTCATAAAATTAAAGTGATGGATACTTTTATGATTAACTGGTTGTCTGATAAGTTTGGTCAGTGAGTGTCACATAATATTTCATTACATTTAACCAGGTTTTGACAAAGAGACTGGCAGCAAAAGGGGTTACGGGCTCGAACCACCCCTTGGCCAATTTTTTTTTCAAAATCATGCACTTTTCACCATTCTGCGCACATTTCAAGTGATTTTTTGGCCAAAGTTGTTCAATGTTTACTCCACCTGGCAAAATCTGACTACGGGCCTTACCAGTAATACAGTCGCAAGCTTGACAGTGGTATTGAACAAATATTTCACTCTATTGAGGTGAATACCTGTACATCTTTCACAAGTGATATTCCACGAAGCCCGAAGGGCAAGTGGAATATCACCTTGTGAAAGTGCTACAGGTGTTCACCGAAAATAGAGTGAAATATTTGTTTTATTGTATCACTGTCTAGCTAAACATCCCTAATATTATCAAGTCATAGGTTAACATTGAAATACATATATCTTCAGATATTTTTACGAATCTACTCGGTTCGTCTGCCATTTTGACTTACACTGAACTTAATTATTTACACTGAACGAAAACAAATTCTTTGAAAATTCCCGGGAGCGTGGGATATCGCTAGATATCTCACGGTTGTCTTATCTGATTAGCATTGCCATTGAATATCGCCAGATATCCCACGACATGTGACCCGGTTTTGACCAATCATACTGTCGCTAGCTAGATAGTGATATAATAATATTATACATTACATACAAAGTAAAATAAGAAAGACGTACTCGATCTACAACTTGGGAGTTGCGGATATTTCCAAACGCCATCGTTGCATAGGTTTGTAACTGCCATCCGGTCGTTTTTCCCTCGATTTTCCAAAACAAATTCGTAGCCAAAGTCACACAGTACTACTTGAATCGCCGTTCCCTTTGCATTTTCGATACTGAAAGCCATCTCGAAAGCATTATTTGGTATTGCTGGTTTCATTGACTCACATGTCGTGCTAGATCTCCGAACAACCTGTCCGTTTCTCTCACCTGTAACACAATTTCATTAACAGCATCACATCAGCAAGTAACAAGCAACATTTAAGAGAAATTTAAATTTTGTAATATTTATTTATCATTCCTTACCAAAAACGTTACGAAAAAAACTAACGTATAACCATCCATACACAGGACTTTATTCATTAGTATTCTCGATCCATTTAACATAAACCACGTTGGACCAATCTAGCAACTTGGATTCATGGATTACCGTCTCACGACTATGTAAGTGCTGGTTATGAATGTTATTCTGGGTCTTTTTATGCGAATTAGAAAAAATACGTAAAGACACCATATTTCCACTTTTATTTTCAAAAAGTCATCTTATGCCACATCTATAAGCGCAAATTTCATTCTTATTAATATCGATCGAGACAATATCGTTTAACAATCCAGAACAAATTATGCAACGCGTACGTTACGAAAGACAAATCGACTCGCTCCAATTAACACAAGCGATGTGGAGGACATCTAGCGACTGGGAATCAAAGTGTAAGGTTAAAAAAGGATCAAATCAATAATGCCTAGGTCATATTTGCTCCGATTCATCGGCTGGCGCCCAGCCGATTGAGTATTCTGTTCAAAACTGAATAATATACAATTGTGAAAAGAATACCCAATCGGCCGGGCGCCGGCCGATGAATCGGAACAAATGTGACACAGGCATAAACAACCTAGAATTAAAATTCAGCGCGTGTGAAATTAGAGCTGAATTATTTTATTTTTGATTGGTTCAACGTCCTCTGTTATTGAAATCGAACGTGATTTGAAAAGCGTTCGCTTGAATCATTATGAGTATATTGAGTAATATAAAAGGATTCGGTTGAATGTATTCAGGCATTCTGCTTGTAGCAAGCCTGCGTTTAGAAATTCTAAAATCTTAATAATTAGAACATTTTGTTTGGAATTTGATTTTTCGAGGAGACATGACACCGTTATGTCTCCTCGAAAAAGCAAATTCCAAAACTGATATTGAATTAATGCCTGGGTCACTTTTGTTCCAATCCATCGGCCGGCGCCAGGCCAATTGAGTGTTTTGTTCAAATTTGTATTAAATTTTGAACAAAATACTCAATCTGCCGGGCGCCGTAATGAAAATATGACAATTTATCATCATTTTTTGTTGTTAGATTTAGATGTTTTGTTTCGTGACCGACATATAGGCTTTATGCCTGAAACAGTGTTAATTCAGCATCGAAAATTAACAACAAGGGATCGAGTTGATTTTGAATGGGAGTATGGAACCTGGATGTTCCTTGCATAAGTGCAACTCAGCATCTCGGCTGTTATAAGCTGATAGACATCGTGGTCGTTATAAAATACCTAGAAGCATTGCAAAATAACTCTATTCTATTTTGTTTCTCCTTATTGTACCATTTCATGTATTGGTTGCACCTAATAAACGCAGCTGCTAGCACGCACTTCATCCATTGGCTTTTGGGTTGGAGGACGTGTTTAATTAAGAAATAAGTCAAAGGTTACCGCAGTCTAATAACAGTGTTGATAGTGCTCACTATGCACCATCACGCAACGCAAACTTGCACTTGTACAAGTCAGGCATAGCACTGGGGAGCTTTCATCCTTCAAATCACAACAAAATATTTGGCAAGTATGTAGTTCGTGAGTTCCGGTTTCAAATTATGATTACAACTTAGAAATTAATTCTGCCAGTGCCGGGATATTCACAAAGTAATTCCCTAAATTAGGAAACGAGGAACAGCCTTCCTCCCCAGGGGCCGTGAATTCGTACGATCCCCAATTCAATCCAGATAAATTTTATCTTTTGGGATAAATCTTGGAATACTAATCCGATAAATATTTGGTGAATTCGTACGATCCGAGGATTATGAGGGGGAATCCCCAAGATTTATCCAATTTGCATCGGAATTCGGCTAAAAGTTATCCAAAAAGTAATCCACCTCTGAGATTTATCCTGAGATTAGGTTAATCCCAGGATCGTACGAATTCACCGATTTTTGGATAAATTCTTGGATTAATCCCACAATGCATCATTACCATGACGAAATGTATCCAGATCGTACGAATTCACGGCCCCAGTGGTGTTTTCGTCATTAAAAATTTAAAGTTGCGATATAAGTTTGGCTGAAAGCTCTCTCTCTTAAGCGGTAAATAGAAACGTATACAATACCATCGCTGAAGTAGAGTTTGGTCCACAGAATGATGAAAAATATAACTTGAATCCTTTTGCACTTCATTTTGTATATTTTTGCTGTTCTTGTTCCTAAGAAGAAATGACGTAGTCTACTGTAAGAATTACATATATTTCTGACGTCACAGTTCTTATTCTAATTTCAAATAACTATAAATATATATGACGTCATTTTATATATGACAATAGTGAATTGTTTTTTGTTCTTGTTACCTAGGAAAAGTATTGCTCAAATCAATGTTGTTAATGTTGCTAAGAACAAATGACGCAATCTGCTCAGAAAATCACATATATTTATGGAATCAAGACCGAAGTTTAATGATTTATAGCGCAATATATGACCGAAAAATTTATTATGTTCATTAAAAGACAGAAATTGCCTAGCCATTGAGGTCTTTGGCAGTGGCCAGAATAAAATTTAAGGTCATATATTTACCATAAATTATAAAATCGAGGTTTTTTGTGTGATTCTAATACGATAAACCTGGGAATACTAGTTCAAGTTTTAAGCTACATCCCCCTCTGAAAGTTTGTTAACCCTAACTGCCCATGCAAAAGCCTCTTTATATTTGTCAATGACTTTTCATTTGCATTATCTGTAAAGATTAAAGAACCATTTTATTATCTGGAAAATCAAATTTACATCATTTCGAATCCCTCTTTAGGTTTTTCTATGTTTAGAAAATTATAAAAGGTAGAAAAATGATGAAAACTCCGAAGATTTTGAAATCGACATTCCATATATAAGGTATGAGGTTCCATATCCATCCGCCAAAAGGTATGACCCCTATATAGTCCATTTAAAAACCTGTGGTATTGTTCTAAATAACGCCATAGTTGGCTTCTAGGGTACCTAGTATGCCACTATTTGGTATCAAAATGAAGAGGATGAGTTCAACTTTCATTTGAATTACGAAAATAGCGATGTATGTCACAAATAGTTCCGACGTGAGCATGTCTACTACGCGTTTGCTCGTCATATCAGAATTGAGGAAGTGGTGGCAAACGCGAGTTACAATAAATGGACGCTGATATCTCAAAAAGTAACCTGACTCCCTATAATATGATGTAGATCAATCGAACCCCTATATGAACAGGTACATTTTGATATATAACACTATGGGGGGTAAGCGTTTTATAGTTGGTCACGAACGCCATATGTGCAAAGTATTGTTATGAATTTTCGAATTTGGTGTTGGATTACGGTACTCATACCTTAATATGAGGCCTAAAATTGTCTGCTAGTTGGCCAGAGACCAATATTCCAGCAGAATTTGAGGATAGAATCGATTTTTTCGTTCTGCTTAGGGCAAACAATGATTTGAAATCACTTTCAACCATTCTGTGAGTATAAGAATGGTCATAAGAGGCCCGTGGAGGGTCACGAATGAAAGAAAGCCCTCTGAAATTCCGTCAAAATTGCAGGTTATTTCTTCATTTTTTGCTAAAATTGCATGATTTTCAGGGTCCATATCTCAGTAAAATTGCTACAATGTAGCAATTTTTCATTTATACAGGCTAGATACACGTGTCAGGTCGAAAGAAACAGTAAGCATGTATGATTTTCAAATTGCTACATTGTAGCAATATTTATTTCAAAATACAGGTGTGAGGGAAACTGCAATTTAGTTAGATTTGGGCGAAAATGGCCAAATTTCAGTCAAAATCCTCGGGACACAGGGCCTTTGTCTTAGATTTAGTCAATGATGCAACTCTTAGTAGAAGGTGTGCCATATAGGGAATGAAAGCTGTTTGTCAGACGTATCATTTTCTTCAATAAACTCGGAGATAGTCAGGTTAGATTTGTGACGTCACAGTGGCAAAGTTAGACTAGCATATTTAGACGTATTTGGGGTAGGGCAAATTAACCCTTTCTAGCCTAAATGGATAAATTTTTCACATATTCAGCCAATTTCGACGTTTTTATGCATTTTTGAACTAAAAATGATATTTTCCGCCAAAAAAAGTTGCAGAGACAAAAATCAGTGTGATGTCATAAGACATTAAGGTATGAGGTTCCATATCCATCCGCCAAAAGGTATGACCCCTATATAGTCCATTTAAAAACCTGTGGTATTGTTCTAAATAACGCCATAGTTGGCTTCTAGGGTACCTAGTATGCCACTATTTGGTATCAAAATGAAGAGGATGAGTTCAACTTTCATTTGAATTACGAAAATAGCGATGTATGTCACAAATAGTTCCGACGTGAGCATGTCTACTACGCGTTTGCTCGTCATATCAGAATTGAGGAAGTGGTGGCAAACGCGAGTTACAATAAATGGACGCTGATATCTCAAAAAGTAACCTGACTCCCTATAATATGATGTAGATCAATCGAACCCCTATATGAACAGGTACATTTTGATATATAACACTATGGGGGGTAAGCGTTTTATAGTTGGTCACGAACGCCATATGTGCAAAGTATTGTTATGAATTTTCGAATTTGGTGTTGGATTACGGTACTCATACCATAAACCAATATAAACCAAGCGGAAATGATGGGATCGGCGAAAATCATTTTACGGAATATTCAATCATCTGCATTCTCGCAAAAATGCAAGGTCTCCAAAGCCATGTTTAAAGAAAAGCTTTGAAAGCTCTGTAACTTCAATATTCACAAAGAGATTTAACACTTAGCATGAAGAAAGGTTAGACAACAAATTAACTGATTACATTTTTTGGTAAATTATTAACTAGAAAGGTATTCTACACAATTGTTGTACAGGTTTATATTTTGTTTCTTTTACTACAGGTAGCCATATCAATCTTTTTTATTTAACATGTAAGTATTATTTTATTGATTGTCCTAAAACTCTCGTCTCCCTCTACTTCTCCCCCTCCCCCGTCAACGTTCACGTTCATAATCTCGTCTTTGTCCACGACCTTGCCCATGTCCTCGTCCACGACCCCGTCCACGACCTCGTCCACGACCTCGTCCATGGAAGCCACTCTTTACCGGCTGGGCTTTCAAATTAGAATCAGAGTCAGTGTCGTCATCACTCTCATCTGAACCATCCAATTCATGAGGATGAGCTGCTCGTTTTTGTAATTCAGCTGCTTCCATTTTCTTTCTTATTATGACAATACAACAGCAAATCACAACTAATACGCCTACAAGTACACCTCCGATGATTGGACCTGTCATTGCTGAAAATATTTGCAAACTTAAGAATGTGACGTTATTCTTGCGCCATGGGTGGATTGATCTCAAAATTCAAATAATAAGGGTATTTGTAGTGAGTCAATTGTCTGTTTAAAGTATCTCTTATTTCAATTGGAAGAATCTAGATTGTATATAACAAATGTGCACTATCGATAACCCTAATGCAGACTCTATTTCATGTAAATATGTACGACAGTGATAAATGTTGACCACCTGTCATTGAGAGAAATTCTTTCTCATTTCTGACAAAAATAATATACCTTTTAGGTCTCTGGACAATCTTTCCAATGGTACGTTTGATTTCATTATTTCATTGAATTACGTCAAATGTAATCGTGTAATAAAAAGTGTAGTCAGCAACGTGTTTCATTAATTAAATAGGCACAAGGAATTTTTACCTGCTAAACCTCCGGGGGAATTATCCTCTGCAGGTGGCTTATTGACAGTAGGCTTGTTATTTCCAGCAGGTTGTTTATTTCCAACAGGTTCGTTATTTTCAGCGGATTGGTTACTTTCAGTAGGTTGGTTATTTTCAGTAGGTTGGTTATTTTCAGCATGTTGATTGTTTCCAGAAGGTTCGTTATTTCCAGAAGATGACCCGCTTCCGTCGATCGCTTGCGGTGTTTGACCTACATTATTAGGGAGATTCTTATTTTTAACAAAACATTTATGTGAACATGTTAAATTATAATGACAAATAAGGATTACTCCCCCCTCTCGATTAGTTCTTCCAGATACGGAATTACACTTTTTTATCCTTATCTCTTTTAATTAAATTAGGAAGGGTAAACATTCTGAAGTCTCCGAGAACCATGATTTTACATGTCCACATACATATGTTTTTTATAAACACGTAGCTCAACTACTTTCAACAGCTTTCAAATGCATGAATAAGAGAGAATCAGAAATATCGATACATTATTTTGAAATAACTGGCAGGTTTACCCTGCCTTGTAGTAGGTGTAGTACCAGTAAGAAAGTCCGAATTGAATAGAGTTTCAAGAAAACAAAATTCCGCATAGTCGACGACTATTAACATCCTTTAACATTAGATTTTTAAGAATGTAAAGTTCATTAATTACAATACTCTACGACAATTAACATGCTTTAACATTTGAATTTCAAAAATATAAAGTTCCTAAATTGCAATAGTCGAGGACAATTAACATGCTTTGACATTTGATTTTTAAAAAGAACTTTAACATTTGAATTTCAAGAATGTTACATCAATTACAATAGTCGACGACAGTTAACATGCTTTAACGTTGGATTTTCAGAATGTAAAGCTCATCAACTACAATGGTCGTCGTTAACATGCTTTGAAAAAGCTATATATGTGCTTTCAATTATAGGAAGAAAGGAATGTATTTGTATCCGTTGGTACTATGATACTTCAACATGTTTATTTAAAGACTTTACCGTTACTTGTGGGGCATGGGTTATCTTGAACTGTCGTCAAAGTAAGTGTTGATGGTTCGCAAGGTCCACTGGATGGGGTGGGGCTTCTTGTTTTAGTACATTGGAGATTAGTCCCACAGCTTGGCGTACATTGATATGGACCCCATTCACCGACCACACATCCAACTAAAAAAATAATAAATCTGATGTGTTTTATCATTTATTCCATAATACTACTGTTTTCCCTGGAAAATAAAATCATATTATCCCTCTAAAAATCATATATACTCGAAAAATCATATTGTCCCTGTCAAAAAAAATCATATATACTCAAAAAATCATATTGTCCCTATTTTTTTCAAATCATTTTTTCCAAAAAATTAGATTTTTCCAAATTTTCCAATTTTCGAAAAAAAAATTCAGAAATTATCATTTTTTCAAAAAATTGCAATTTTTCAAAGATTTTCATTTATTTAAAAAAATTTCAATTTTGAATCACTTTTTCATTTTTTCCAAAAATTTTCTTCAAATATCTTTTTCCTTGAATTCTCAAAAATTAAATTATGGAATAAAAAGGTTATTTCATGCTTGATTTTCAATATGAATTTTATTCCACGGGAAATATGACATTGACCTCGGTAAATATTTTATTGACACTCACTCGCTACGCTCGTTCGGTCAATATCATATTTCCCTTGGTCAATATCATATTACCCTGGAATAAAATTTATATTGAAAATAAAGCATGAAATTATGGAATTTTTTCTGCATCTTTATTTGATTTTCACACTTTTGTATTTGATAACAACCATTTGATATTCCACTCTATTAAAATAATTCGAAACACGTAACAAATTTGTTTGTTTTTACACATTTATATTTGATATATGTACCTATATATGCGGTAAATGCACTTGTATATGCGGTTTATGTTATTCAGTGTTTGATAAAATATCACATATTTAAGTCCATGTACACACACGAACAAAGACGATTGACACATATATCTAGATCACGCATCAAATACAAATGCACTTTAGAACCAAACAATGTTCATTTACCGAACAATCATAGAGTACAAAATAGCACGGACATATAGTGGCTTACCCCACATAATTAATGACAAGTACTTTCGCATAAAATCATGTTGGGTAAGTCACGTGACTTACCCCACATAAATGACACATGCTGCATGTAGCATAAAACCATTCGTTAAATCACGTGACCAGTGACGTAGAAATTATTTCAAAATGGATGAAACAAGCGAGGAAAAAGAATTTGAACAAGATTCATATTCACAAATTAGAGAGGAAATTGAGAAGTTATTAGATCATTGCAGCATGAGGCTACAAGCGATCGTTTCTTAATAGAAGATACGTGTTCGCGATTTGAGAATCACACCAGAGCTCTTAGAATATATAGATGGCGCAAGTCATGCGACCGAAGTCACGTGACTTACCCCACATCAAAACAGTGAACATTGGTTTATGTTAAATCATTCGGTAAGTCACGTGACTTACCCCACAAATGAATATGTTTACCCAACACGAACGGTACTTGGCATCGCATATGTTTAAAATACTTATCAAATTTATATTTGATCGGGTCGAATACAGTTTTGAAGCATCTTACATATTTGTTGTGTAAGACAGTCAATTATATGTGGGATAGTAGGTACCATTTGTTGTAACTGGTTTTGTTTATGTTCGGTTAAACTTACTCCGTGGGGTAAAAACCGAAGATATTAATGTTACGAATATTGATGCAATAAATACACTATATGAAATAACCTATATATATTTCCTAAATGTTTTTGTGTCATCAGAACGGCGCAAATATACTGTAGAATCAGATACAAGGTGAATATCAGTTGAATGTACTATAAACATCACATAGATGGGGTACTCTATCACTCAAGAAGGGGGATATTTTTTCTAAAAATATTTGCATGAAGAATCATTTTTCAATCATGCTATAAGTAGTTGGTAGTTAGTATGTGTAAATCTCAATAAAAATAAAAAAGTTCGTAAAAAGTATCATCATCAACCAATACATCTTTACCTTGACACTTTTTTCCAGCTGTCGGTGTACAGTCTTTAGATCTTGTTTCGAAATCCTCCATACAAACATTTGGAAAATTGATAGAATCGCATCTTCGGTACTGAAACTGTTTGAAAGTACCACTCGTAGTATCACATAGGCATTCAAACCAAGGCGACCAATTTGACCATCCATTTCTTCCTAAATAAGAAAATTAAGAAAATCAGGATATGCGAATCAATTGAATAATATGCGCTTCCGAGTATACAGGGTGTCCGGAAAGTAAAGATACAAGTACTCTCATTTCAATAGATTTACATGTTGTGAGATAAAACTAATAAAGATTGTAGACTGGGATTATAACAATTTATCCTGAACTGTCATGACATAGTGTTTCAAATTGAAAGAGTTATGGTTGTTATGGTAACAGGAGTTTGGGGTATGTGGAGCAGCGTCACGATTGTGTTTATAATTCTTTTGCCTGCTCATATCATATTTGCACTCAACCAGCTGTTACTATTTTACATCAAGTTATGTATCAAAACAACATAAGGATTAGTACTGTAACATTATTTGGTCATTTCACATTATTTCTGTTAACATCGGGGGGATATGGGCCATTGTACAAAAAGGTTTGATGTCAAGATATTCAATTGTAAGATTTGTTTTCTTTGCTTTGTGAATCTGTGCATTGTAGAGGTGCACTATTGACTTTTTTATTAATCCAGGGACCTTTTTCCAAGCATTTGTATATTTTTTCTTTGCTTATAAAGATCAGTGACACTACATGGTTCTGATATGTATCAATGATATCATTATACTAAAGAGAATACTATGGCAGTAATGATACAATATTGAACAAAACATTGATAGAAAATTCAATATTAAACACTGTTTCAAATGGTTATACTTTAGCAATTTATCACATTTAAGCGATATCCTGGAACTGATCCGCATATATGCTCCGCATACCCCTCACCCTAGTAACCATGACAACCATAATTTTAGCACATTTAGATGTTATGAGATGAAAGTTAGTAGATATAAGTTCCTCTGCAATCTGTACAGAATGTACTCACCATATACAAAAACAAATATAGAATCACTGATGCCCTGTTCTTCTTCCGTAACAATGTAAAGACCTGGCGTATGCATCAAGTCAGCTTTACTTGCTATCTGAACTCTCACACTGATGAAATAGGACTTTTTAATAACAATAAGTGTATACAAAATACTGTATAATACTATAATATTAATGGTCAATTAGATTTTGTGATGTATTTGGTGTAAATAGGTCAGTCATTATCAGTACTAATTATATATTGTTTTAGTGTTGTATTTGATTTTGGTCAGTGCATGATCAAACACTTTAAACAAGGTTCCATTATATCCAACATCAATTTATTATGAGTACTGTTAAGCTAAACCGTGCATGATGCTCTGAAAAATTAAAGCAATGCAAACATTTGTAGTACTGAACTGTTCACAAATTGCTCGTATATAGTAAGCAATCAAATTCTAAAATCCTATTGGATAATTATTCGTTTATTACAAAACGATTATACCACAGCTAATTTTTAGATGCGTCATCGGAAAACGGACCATGAGACAAAGAATATCAAATAGCTAGAACTTACCCTTGATTGGGACTAAAACTGCAATCAAATGCCGGATTATGATAATCTGTGTTAGTTACTTCTCCCGTGTTCAAATCTTTTGTGATGGTCTTCTTTTCTAGATATGGTTATGTTTTTCCATAATCTATCTTTCCATAACACGTTATACCACGTGCCTGATTGTTATCTGGATCAAGTTTGAGAACGCTTAGACGTATAGCTTTCTTTGCCCAATCTTCACTATCTAATGGAAATCGGGAATTGAATAAATCTTCCGTCGCAAAGTACAACCCCTTAGCCGCGGGTCCATAGATATACTTTATATAATCAGAACTCGGTAAGATACCCTAGAATCAGTCAATTTTTTTTTAAAAATCATGTCAAAAATAGATTATATTAACTCTCAAATACTGGAAAGCGAGTGAAAACCTACTGGAAATTGTTCTTCAAAACTGCCTTCAACGTTGCAGTCGTTTTCAATTTAAACGAAATTCGTTTTGAATGTCGGAAATTGAAAATGAAGCAATTGAAAATTGGATATATTGTTCACTAATGGCCAGAAACTGACAACGAATAAAAAACGATATCCAGACGGTATCATTCAAGCATACAAATAACTAAAACAAACAAGAAATTAAATACAAGAAAAAATCTCACGTACCCTAATATTAAGCGCAATTTGCTGATTTTCCAGAAAGAATTGCGCCCTGTGGTTTGTACTTGCACGAAACTCTTTGTAACCCCACTCGTTTGGAACTGCCAAAATATTTGTCAGACAGTATTTCAATTGATTGTAAACAAAGAGACATGTCTAGTAAATGCTTATTCCACTAGTGATCCACTCGATCACGCTGGTTACCGAAACGACCCGTTTCGGAAACAAAATGTAGAAACCTCGAAGGTACGACTTTTCTTTTTTCCTTATTTCATGCGTTGTAGGCAAAATTCCAATGACATTTTAATAACAAACATGTGTCAGTATCATATGTCTGAGAATAATGTTCATGCTTGCGAACAAATAGTTCAAAAGAACCCCACTTAAGTTACGTAAACGGAACTTCGACAACGGTTAAGATCTGCGATTACGTTTACGTAACTTTAATAGTGAGATTGTATATTCTGTTGTCTTCTGAACTATTTGTTCGCAAACATGTACATTTTTTCAAACATATGATACTGACACACGTTTGTAATAAAAATGTCTTGAGAATTCTGCCCTAAACGCGTGAAATAAGGAAAAAAGAAAAAAGGACCTTCGAGGTTCCGACATTTTGTTACCAAAGCGGTTCGTTTCGGTAACCAGCGTGATCGAGTGGATCATCAGTGTATTCGGAGGCCCATCTATTAACTTTATTATTGATATTACATCATTTATCAAGTAACATGCAACATATTGACATTGAACATATTGGCATGCAAGATTTTGGTATTGAACAAATGTATTGAGCATATCGGAATAAAGCAAATTAGTATCGAGCCCATTACTATTATAAACACATTGACATTGAAAACATTTGACAAATCTTACACATCGATATATTAAGTTTGGAAATATAAAGTTTACCTTTCTCACATATGAAGTGAGTATATAGATCGTGTTTTAACCACCTAAACTTATTATTTAGCTTTCTGAATATGAAGTTGTAGTCCCTTGATCCAAGCAGAGCCACTGCGTCGCGAGGCAGTCCATCAGGGTTCCGGTCATTACCATTCAGATCACCTTCATTGACCCATGGAATCGTCCAGCCATAACTACTCAATTGCCTGTTTTTATTGTTCAGCCAGTAAAAGTGATCAGACTATATAAAGACAAGCATTAACAATCTGAATATGATTTCAAATCCAGTTATTGCAACCATTAAATGTTATGACATGTCAAGGCAACGATGGACTTTAGAACTCTTAACTTTTTGTTCAAAGTTCCGTTGAAACCGGGCCCGTAGCCAAGATATGCCAAGGGGGGGGGGGATCCAGGGGCTTACTTTTGACAATGATCGCATAAAAAGTGCTCAGAATGGTGAAAAATACACGATTTTGAACGACTTTTCGGCCATGGAGAGTTTAAAAGTTTAAGATGGCGATGACAAAATTAATCTGAGAAAATAAATAAACTAACAAATAGCTTACATTTCTATTCTTTAGTTAAATCCACTAAAACCGCATTACACAAATCAAATGTAACGATGACACATATTAAAATAATGAATAAGGTATTGAATAGCTTATATATAATTACATTTCTATCCGTTAGTCCAATTCAATAAGACCGTTCCACATACATGTATTTTAACAACTAATAACGATAACAACTATCAAATATCAAAATAATAAATATATTAATGACTAGCTTTAATTTCTATTCGTTATAACAATCAAATTAAACCGCGCTACAAATTTTAACACAAGTCTAATATCAAGATTACAAATATCAAAATAACAGACAAATTAATAAAATAGCCTACATTTATATTCGTAGGTCCAAAGAATTAAACCATGTTTCATATTTTAACACATGTCTAATGATAACAAATATAATGGATATATTAATAATAAAAACATACACTTCTATTCGTTAGTCCAATCCAATACATCCAGCCGCTGTCGAAATTCACATCGAGACCACCTGCCCGGTACGTGTGTCTTAGCCACTCCCTTACAATATTGTATTCATGTTCGGTCTCGAACTGTACAAGTTCCGCGTCAGCACTTCGACATGAATCACGACTATGGGTCCAATTCCTTGCAAGTCCTCCGAAATAACAGTGACCAGGCTCAAGTTCATACCAACGCTTCCCTCCACATGTTGTCCCTTTAACATAATAGGGAGTTTAAAGTGCCAATTCGGTAATTTCCATAGAAACAGTATACCAAAAGACTCACATCTTCATCTGATTGTCTTTCAGTACCAAAATAATATTTCCCGGAAAAAAAACATGACGTCACGATCAGAACCGGTTATGGATTTAATCGGCAATGCGTTGTGCAACTCGAATGTAAATTCAAAAGTGTTCATGTTATACTGTGTTCTGATTGGCCAGAAAGGAGTAACGCTTCTCGAAATCACCTCATGGTTCAATGCCTTTTGGTTGTAAGATTTAAACAGCATTGAGTTATGTAACAGGATCAACTCAACGTGTATAGTTTATATACTGTATTCTGACTGGCAAGAACGTAACTCTGCATGACTAGCTTTGTGAAAACGCATCACAGGGTCGGGAGCTTTAATTGAGGTATTATATTTTCGCTCATCGGATGAAAAATCTTGGCTCCAAAGTAGTCAAAGTTGAATCGTTTCCGCTCTGCATTGAATGCAGTAGCAATCAATTACACTGACACTTTATAAGCCCGTCACTCGGAGATCCTAAACTCCAGCAACCTGTTCAAAACCTGTTCTGATCGTGATGTCACGATTCGCACTTGACATTGGGTTCCCGATTTTGAACATCAAATTTCACATTTATAGAAATATTTACAAGAACGGTATATGGTTTGACTTGTAAGTGGTGTTTACTTCATTTAAAACATGTATAAACTGAATTTTGACCCCATGAGCATCGCACAGCCACTTTAAGCTTGGAATATTTTTCACAATCTAAACGTGAACGGAAAATATTTAAGCGATGCATTTGTATGGGCGATTGGTCATACGCATAGGTTGGCGTTTCGATTTATATGCAACCTAAAACTCCTTATGATAGACGTATGACGCTGCATTTGAGTGTAAGCTGCATTAAAGCATCGGTACGCTGCATTTTAAAATCATTACGCTCTATTTAAGCATCTAGAATACTACGGTTCACAGAGATCGTCATCCAATCATTAAACTCAACCATGAGAATTCAATACAAACTTAAATATCTATTCGCTTAACCTCCGGTATTAAGGTGTTAATGATTTCAAATAGTGAGATATGTTCTTAGGGTTACTGGATGAGGCTAGTAAAATCAATACTATCTCTAGTAGTTCGCAAACATGAACTTCACCAGTGCAGATTTAACTGTATGGTTTTGAGATCCCTAGTTTAGACAAGTAATTAATGCAGTGAAACCATCAATATCGTGAATACAGGCTAGGACTTACCAGTGTGAAAGAAATGATGGTCCCCCCCAGTGATTATGGTCCCCTTTCTTAACGGCCCTTACTGGCCCTAATTGTGTTTACGATAATGAGGGAAAGAGTTGTATTTAGGTCACCATATAAATCAATGGAGAGTAGGACCGTAATTTGACAGGACCTCCTACCCCTTTTACACCTGACTAAACCCTGTACTTTTATGATAAAGACTTTGACTGGGACATATCCCCTTAATGCTTATGGCCATGTAACAAAATATGTGCTTTATGTAATGCCGAAGAGGAAAATATATAGTACACTTTCTATTCTCTTGTGAAATCTTAGAAAAAGAGGGTTCCCTTTTGGATTATGTTAGAATAACGAATTATCATGGTCACGATTTTAACGCAACAATTGTAAATATCCTAAAACAAGGGGATATCACTGTAACTTGTATAACAAAAGGTGTTAGCTTGCTGTAGACAGTTTCTATATTTCTATTCTTATATATTATATCTTAAATAACTTTATGTTATATCGTACTCATCATTTATGGTGGAATAAAAGATACATTTATAAACATAAACAAAGCGAGTCAAGAATGGACGATTTTGCACAGGTACGAGTACAATATGCTACAAATTTTTTGGAGCTTCATTTCACAATTGTTGTGACATCATAACAACAAGTAGAAATACATAGTAGAAAATACATGAATACGCATTACAACAAAGCTCCATTGTTATAACATCAAAACTTAGTTTTGTAGAATGGGAATTGGATACTCATGATCAACTGTGTATCTGTTGCCAACTTACCATGTTGTCGATGCATAATGTCATCTTGTGTAATGTCATCTTGTACATGTCACGTTTTAGGATGAAAGATGGCAATATCTTGCATTTGGGTAAAGACGGTTGTATCTTTGATAGTCATATGAGAAACATGTCTATCGGATGACTAGCTTATAGTATATGTATTCCGCAAATGTGAAACCTCGAGGTAATCCATAAGAAGGGCTAGTGGAATATCATATTTTGAAAGTGTCGAGCATGTTCACCAAAAATAGAATGGAAAATTTGTTTCAATTATTACCGCCAAGCAACCATTCTTCAATACACATAACGTGACATTGTTCAATTCATTGTTTAACAACGTTCAACTTGTTATTACTAGGATTTCACATGTTGGGTGTACATATTTTATAAATTCAAAGTGACGTATATGAATTTTTATTCACGGCGTGCCTGATAAGTTTGGTCAGTGACTGTCGCAAGAGGAGGGAAAGTCCCAGAGTTTAAAGATGACATACATAATTACCTCTCTTGCTTACCTTCGTTCGTTCGAATTTTCATCGGCTAGTTATCAAATACTACACTTCGATGGGATGTTTTAATTGACATAGGCATATTCCGTACACCTTGCTTTATCTTGTTGTGAAATGAGAAGCTATGATATTGGTTAACACGCCAGAAATGAACATAATATTACTCGAAGCGTATTTCGAAAATTTTGAAACCGCCATTGATGACGTCATTTGTTTGTCGACTTTTGACCAATCAGCGACAATGTCATCTCAATACAGATTTACATTATAAGCGTATGTCATCTTTGAACCCTGGTGTTTCTCCCCCTCT